TCATTCATTTAAAGGGGTTTGGGGAGTGGGATGGGACAGAGATCATGCTTTTTAATGATGGGGTAAGGAAGCTGGGAATGAAAAGAGGAGAATTCAGGGCAACATATTGACTGATAAGGTTGTGTTATTAGATCTTACAGATGGGGCAGGTTATCTCATCTCCTATTTAACAAGAGGTACTTAGGCCAAGCCACTTACAAGCAGGATACTGATAAATCTGAAACCTGAGTTAACTCTACTTTTCTCCCTCCATCACCCCAGCTCCAACTTTTTAAGAGGAAGCTGGTAAGGGCTGATACAGATTTCTTCATAACAATTTAATTCTACTCCCTCCTCCCCACCCTGTCCACGCACACACAGGTGCTAGAATGAGAACCACAGCCCAGTCCATTTTGCAAGGAATGCCTTCTATTCACAGATCTATAGTTTGCTACGAAAGCAATTCATGTTCATAAGAATGACCCAGAAACACAAGGCGATCTTCAGACATAATGTAAAAATTAAGCTGTGAGAGCTCTACTTATATTGACTATAGCATCCAAACAAAGACTTTCTGTGCCACTCCTGGGTTCAACGGGCAGCCTAGGAGATGTTGTAATATTAAATATCTGGCATATTTCAATGATTTATGTGGGAACCGTGCAGGACATTTGAAAGTGGGTTATTCTAGAAAATCAGAGATATATGATTGTCATAACTACCCTGTAATTTGAAAGGCAAGATTCTATCTACATTAATATCTTTGGAAAGGTTTTCAGCCAAGATTTTTCTGATTAACCTTCATGAAAAACTCCCATTTCTGAAATAATCTATTTAATTGATAGTTAACTGAATTTATATTAGAACATTTAAAGTATAAAAATGTCATTTAAGGATAAATTTATGGCACTTACACATAACTCAAACTGTATAGAAGATTCTAAGATGTTTTAAAATGAACACTGCATTTATTGTTCAAGTCCTGTGTGACTTGAAAAGAGTTTTGTATTTCGCATCTTGGTTTTTACATCGCAATCTTCTGCCCAAAGAGTAACTTAAAATTCGCAGCTTTTTCTAAATTATTGATTTAAAAAATTATAAATTCCTTGAGAGCAGAATTTATAATCTTTGTTATTTATCATGTATTTCCCTTCTCAGATAGAGTTTAATGATATTTGTGGAATGTATAAAGGAGAAAACAGGTTCTCTTTCCTTTTCAGCCACCTCAAGGCTTAACATATGTTGAAGGTAAATTATAAGCATCTGATATCCAGAAGAACTTTCTTTTATTCTTACGCTTTAGACAAAAGTGCACAATACCCTCAGGTTGTACATATCAGCGCCAGGCTTCTAGAAATGAGAAGGAAACTTCTGATTCAGGCCAGCTAGCCTATCAGAAATAGCCATTCTGGTCATTTATCTATTAAGGAAAAAAGACCTGATTCAATGTAAGGGCTTTACATTATTGGCTGGCAAATCAAATTCTAACTAGAGCTTCCAAATCAATTCCATAGCTTAAGTTTAGGCAAGCAGATGTCTACCTTTCCTACTGTTTGGTTTTTTGATCCATCCTTTTCTGGCAATAAAATTTAAACGTATGCTTTTTCTTTTCTAAGTTGCACATCAATACTCACTCCCTTGTCAAATGTACCAATTTATCTGAATATTCACAATGTGATTTCTTTTTTTCTACAAGGGAGGAAAACTTTGAATCTTTCACTTGTTTTCAAACAACCCTGCCTGCACTCTCTTTGTGATTTAGGGAAAAGTCCCTCTTTTTCTCTTCTTTCTGATGGCATTAGTTACCACTGTCATGTGTCCGAGAAGCAGAAAATTATGTCCTACTTTAGAAAAACAATTGGGCCTTTTCACTGAAATATTTATTCAAAACCCCATTCAATTCATACGGTGGCTGTCAGTCTTTATTTAGTCTTTCTTTCAGAGGGTATCTTTGATTTTGCCACTTTGACCCCAATTTATATCTCACTAGGAGAGGATTTAGATACTGTTTAATACTTGAAATTTGGGTCCCAGGGCTTTGAAAAGAGGCCTTTTCTCATTCCCTAATCAAACATCACTACTGTTTGTTTTAAAAATAATTTCTTCTCATTAATGGGCAAAATCTTATTTCAAAAAGAAAATATTTTTTTTTAATTTTTGCTTTTGACATGTTGAGTAGGGAGAAAAGACAGGGAAAAAGGCCAAGAAGTTGTCACACTCGTTATTTCACCAAAGTAACTATATTTAGACCACAAAATATTAAGATTTATCCTATGCCCACTGAGCAATTAATGTTGAAAACATCTGGAGCCGCCTAAAACCAAGATAATCCTGGAGGCATCTGAACAGAAATTCAGTGACTCCTATACCTTCCAGGGGCAGTCGTCAATCGTAATATTTAGACCACATTCCCTTAGTAGTCCCCTAATCCTGACTTTGAATGCTTATAACAAGCAATTCACAGACACTACTACAAATGGCAGCTGGCTGGCATATCATTTTTCTGCCTTTAAAATTAAAAAGAAAATAAAGGGAATATTTTAACACCTTTCAAAGTGAGCTTCTGGCGGTGTGCTCCATGTTCAAAGGTCTTACTTTATTTACTATGCATACACACACACACCATAAAAAAAATTCTCAAAGCAGAAAACAGTTTTGGTTGGAATTTAGTACTTTTTCTTCTTTGCCCACTGTTTCCTCTGTGTTAAAAGCAAAAACAGATCTGCTTCTCGTCAAAATAGCCATTAAGTAAAATGGAAAAGGTTGTGGTTATGTTCTTACTTACACAAATGTAGCCCTAATATGCTTTTATTTCAAAAGTTCTAACTAGCTATACCACCCTGAACCAAACACTGCGTGGCACAGACATTTGTTAGAATCTTTAAAAAAAAAAAAAAAAGTTTTAGTTTTATTTATGCTAAAGACAAAAACAAAACAAAACAAAACAAAAAAACCTTAATCGCTAACAACTGACTATCATAAAGTGGTTTATGGAGGGTAAAGCAACTCTGCAATGGCACAAGCAATATTTACATTTTATTCATTTAACCTAAAGTTGGGTTATGGGATTCAAACTCTTGTGAAACTGACCACAATAAGAACTAATTGCCCTGCTTACAAAAATAAGACACTGGAATTTCTGAAATCCCTTTGTCAAATGCCTTTATTTACTTTGTCTAATGCAAGTTTCTTTGATTAGCTAAACTTTGCTGTTATCAACACTTCTTGCTTATCGGCTAGTTTTAGGCGAATGACACATTCACCGCTCGCTCTCCCTAGATAAAGCAAATCCCTTGTTTAACTTGTCCAAGAACAAACAAAGCTTTTCCCCCTACTCTTACAACTTAATAGGCATGTTTGGAGGGTTAATTACAAAAGGAAGAATGTCTACATGTAAAAACTCTATTAGGTCTAATAACTTTTGGCGAGGATCCTGAGCATTTTTTTTTCCTTCTGTTAAAAAATATGTTTCGTTACAACTTTCTCTAACAAGAAAAAGTTTCAGAGAGCCCCAGTTCCCTGGGATTCCAACAGAAATTGTTCATACTGTTTTAATTGCCACAAAGAGGACAGGTCTGAAAGGTCTCTTCTTGGATTAGAAAATTATTTTGTAACTCAAGTTTCTTTGAGTTCTCCAGAAATAAAATAGGCACCAAAAAAGAAAAGGCATTTGGGGAGCAGCTGAAGATTAAGGCGCCTACTGAAAATGATATTCTTTTTGCCCTGCTTATGGCTCTACAAAATGTTAAGTCAGACAGCCAGGCTGTTGGCATCAAATGGTTATTGATTTTTCAGCTACAAACCTGTTGATTTCCTGGCCCAAGAAGCAAGTCTTTATTCTTAAGAAAAAGTTTCAGAGAGGGCAATTTAAATCCTGTCATTGTCCCCTCTCTCCTTTTTCTTCTCTCTTTAGATAAGCCACCATGTTATTAGGAAAACTCAATTTCTTCCAGTTAAACTTTGACCTCTTTGAAAACAAAGATTTAAAATGTCATTTTCAGGCTAATGCTCCAATGAATTGTCAAATAAAGTACTAAAAACATTTTGATAGATAGCTGAGCCATTTATCTAAATCACTGTCAGGGCGGTACAGCATCCTGCAGGCTCCCACTACAGCCACCCGAAGGTGGGATTTTCTGGGACTCCTGGTCATTTCTCAAGCCTGCAGCCAGGCTACTGTTGACCAGATGCGTACCTCGGCACTGTGTCAGCATCAGATAACAAAATAGTCAATATTTTTTTTTTAAATTGGGCTATCCCACTTATATTTCCTTTCCTTTAACTGATGTCCATGTTCCAGGCTGAATTGCAAGATATGAAAATAATGGATGGCTCAGCCCAAGGGGTGTTCATTGCCAGTAGTTTTCTAGCAAAACAGCAACTTCTTAGACCAACAAAGTGACTCGGAAAGGTGGCAGCAGGGTCAATGCTAAGAAATATTGCCTTTCCTTAGCAAGGAAAACATTGGAAGCGGCAGCTTGAACTGGTGGTTTATGAACTTCGGGAGCAGCAGCCACCTTAATTAAACTAAATTCCTTTCAAGGAAAATGTCATATTTTAATTACTTTGGACTGTTGGAATACACAAGGGGTGGAGGAACCTATACAACTAGTAGCTAATCCAAAGAACAGTAAAGTTAAATTTCACTCTGCACACATTTTAGTAAAAACTGCAAAATGGGTCAAATTGCCCTACTTGAAGAATGTTTTAAAGTCTTGTGGTCACCCTCTACTCCCCACCCCCCACACTTTTATGCATATTTTCAAAATTGTTTTCAACAGACTATAAGGTTGGTAAGGAGAGGAGCATGGGGGCGGGAGGGGTTATTTGGGAAGAAAACATCTAACAGGAAATTTTCAGCAAAGGGAATCAATATGCATGCCAGCATATCACACCCCTTCAGCATTAAATCATTAAATCCTTTGTCTTGCTACCAATGCAGTTTATTTCCAATGTCTTTATTGCATGCAAGAGAGACAATTTTTTTTTCTTGGTAGAAGAAGGGAAAAAAATAAACCTACATTGAGCAGTGTGCCGATGCTGCCATTCGGTTTGGGTCAATCCACTGAAGCATGCTTTGAGAGCTTTCTCCTGGAGCATGCAGGAAGACGGACTCGCAGTGTAGAAATCCAGGATTTGCCCAGGACTCACTGACAGAACATCCATACAGTCAAACATGATCTCCCCTGCACTGAATGTCTGCAAAAGTGCTTATCCTCTAGGTGTGGAGGCAAATGGCATAGAAAAGTCCACCCAACTCCATCAAACTCTGCCCCTTTTTTGGCACGTAGGCTGTTGGTCTTTTTCCCAGCCCCGAATCATGAATTATGACAGACAAGCCAGCTAAAAGCCTGTAATTGATCCAAATGATCATTTACCATTTTCCAGGCTTGCTCGGCCAATCCAGCCGGGGCGGGGGGTTCCCAGAAAGATCCCAAGTTCTCCTTCCAAGTAAATGCTTGCAAAAAGCCTTCCGAATGCGTTCCGGATCCTACCCCGACGGTGCCCAGACAAACCCTGCTCGGATCGCTCGCGTTCTCGGCATCCCAGTCCTCAAACAGCTCGCATGGGGGAATTCTGGTCCCCCCTTTGGCAAAGAATAGACCCTCCTGCCTCTGAACAGCTCACTTCCTACTACTTCTGTCACACAGAATGAAAGATTGAATTGCCTAATATATGCGAGTGAACTTTCGGTGAACCCTACCCGGGCTGCTAACCTTCAAATGACCCAACTAGTCTGACATCACCAACTCCCAGGATTCTCACAGAGCTTAAAAACTCCCAGCAGCCCTGCAAAAGCAGACAGCCAGCGAGGCAGGCAGCGAGCGCACAAGCCGGCGCTTTCTTTCCTATTTCTCACCTTAAAAACAATACAAGAAGTGCTTTTAAAACGAGCAGGGGAGGAGCCGGGACGCTGCTCCTGGCTCACGTTGAGCACCAACTTCTCTCCCTTTACGCCTTTTTATTTGCGGCGGCTTAGCTTGGAAAACAGTGTTCCCCCCCTCCCCG